TAGTTTTTTTTTATTATTATTATTATTATTATTATTATTATTTTACTGTATTTGTATTTGTATTTTCTACTTCCTATGTGAAGGTGCTTGTCTGTTGTCTAAGAAAACAATTCATATGTTGTACCAGGCCAATTATGGTTGTTAATATTATTGTTCAATAAAAAAAAATAAAAATAAAAAAAATTGTGTATACTACAATATGTAATCATTGATACGTACAATATCCAACTATTCGTTCATGATACACATATCTGTCCAAACAATCTTCCTGAAACGCTGTAGCCTCTTCAGTCAGCAAACGACGGTGATTGGCCTAACCTCATGAGCGATGAGAAAAGTAACGAATATCACGTGACCACACTCTTTTTAAACAACATTGACCCGAACGAGATATTAATTAATTATATTAAATTTTAACGAATACAATAAGAAACGTTATATATGCCTGCTGTATCGATCACAGAATCATGCGAATTCTCTGTTGTATTTCGACAGGCGTAACGCCATTGGTCTAACGCGTGTGACGTCAGTAGGCTGAACTTCCGGGTAGCGTAATGTTGACGCAATCAGCTGAAAGTTGTTGAAGCTGCGGGTTTGTTTTCTCTCTCCTCAGACGGTTTGATGAGACGGATCAGGTAATATTATCCGTGTGTATCATTATTATAGACGTGTTAGCGATTTGGTGACGGATAGCCGTGTTGTTTGAGTGTGAGATTAGAAATCTAAACCGCTAAAGAGCTAACGTTAATGTCAACAAATGCTGATGCGCTTACTTAGTGCGTTGAGTTATTTTGACTGACATTTCGCTTCTGATTATGATGTGTGTGTGTGTGTGTGTTTGTATATCTGTTTGAATGTGTGTGTGTTTGTTTGTTTGTTTGTTTGTTTGTTTGTTTGTTTGTTTTTAACTGTGTGTGTGTGTGTGTGTGTGTGTTGGTATATCTGTATGAAATGTATGTGTGTGTGTTTGTTTGTTTTTAACTGTGTGTGTGTGTGTGTGTGTGTGTGTTGATATATCTGTATGAATGTATGTGTGTGTGTTTGTTTGTTTTTAACTGTGTGTGTGTGTGTGTGTATTGTCATGTTTAATATCCTGATGTGATTATGATCATGTGTGTCTGTCTTTTTATACTCCTGTCCTCTATGGTAACACACTGATGTGTAGCGTGAGGTCATCAGTGAGGTCATCAGTGCACTGAGGTCATCAGTGAGGTCATGGCCAGTGCCGCAGCGAGCGAGAGTCCAACCGGAGCCGAGAACAGCAGCGGTGGGACTCAGGACGGCACTTTCGAGTGTAACATCTGCCTCGACACATCCAAAGATGCCGTCATCAGCCTGTGTGGACACCTGTTCTGGTGAGACCCCACACACACACACACACACACACACACACGTCTGGTTCGCTATCTCTGTGGGGACTCTCCATAGAAGTAATGTACTCAACTCTATATTGGAGGACTCATAATTCACGTGCACGTTGTAACACCATGTCATCATGCAAATTTTTGTCCTCATAAACACACACACACACACACCTCTTCTGGTGAGACCCTGCGTGTCTGTGTGTGAATGTGACTCGCTCAGCTCTTGTTTCTCTCTCCTCTCGGATCGCTGCTGTGACGTGTGTGTCCTCCAGCTGGCCGTGTTTGCATCAGGTGAGTGTTGCAGTGTTTCAGTGTTTCATGATCATGTGACGTGACTTTAGTTCGATGCACCTGAACCGTGTGTGTGTGTGTGTGTGTGTGTGTGTGTGCAGTGGCTGGAAACCAGGCCGAACAGACAGGTGTGTCCCGTGTGTAAAGCAGGAATCAGCCGAGAGAAGGTGATCCCGCTGTACGGCAGAGGCAGCACCGGCCAACAGGACCCCAGGTGTGTGTGTGTGTGTGTGTGTGTGTGTGAGAGAGAGAGAGAGAGCTAATGATGTTTGTGTTGTAGAGCTTTCATTTCATTTATTTTCTATTCTCTCTTTTCATGGTAATGCAACACGAAATACCACAAAAACAATTTAACAAATCAAACCAACACAAAGTACATTCCATGACAAAGAAAAGAACAGGAGTAGGATGAAGAAAAAAATCTTATAAGCTCCTACCCCATTCCTATAAACAAGATTCACAAATTAGATGACCTCACCAACATAAAATGACAAACAACAGAAAACTTAAAGAAAAAGAAAAAATATAGACCATTTCACAAGATGTAAACAACACTGGTCCAGAAGCACTTCCTGTTTCAGTTTTTTAACACTACATAAAAGCTGGGATAAAATACAACCAACAGAACATATAAAACTGAATCAAAAAGTTAAACAAACATCTGTAAGATGTTTTCTTTACATGTGAAATAAAGAAAACAGTTACAAACTGAAACAGGAAGTGCTTCTGGACCAGTGTTGTTTACATCTTGTGAAATGGTCTATATATATACACATGCACATACACATACATATACGACAAGCCCAAACCAGATATAATCTACCTTCAATTATAACACATTTTTCTCTCTTTGTCTATTATTATTATAATTAATATTATTATTATTATCTATTAATACTAATTCTGCTTACATGATACTAGATAAACAAAAACCAACAAGGATAAAATAATGACAGATCCAACAGCCAAAATAGCAACGAAAGCATAATTATTGTAATAATTCTATTAGTTTTCACATTCTTCTTTATAGACTTTAAGTATCTTTTGTTTATAATTATTTTTAAATTGTAAGATATTTGAACAACATTTTAGATCATTTTCTAGAAGATTCCATCTTTTATTCCACTCATTATGAGTCCTTTGAAGTAGTTTTAGTTTTTCCTATTTTAGTTTTTCAAAATTGATTATTCTGTGTGATTTATAAGCTGTTTTTCCTCATAGGGACTGGGTCAAAGTTAAAGGGTTAGTTGACCCAAAAATGAAAATTCTGTCAGTATTTACTCTCCCTCATGTTGTTCAACCCCGTAAGACCTTCGTTCATCTTCGCGACACAAATTAAGATATTTAAGATATTAAGATCGCTCCTGCATACTAGTCCATAGGCTTCTTGAGGGAATGACTCGAAAAGTCATTAAAGACATCGTTAAAATAGTCCAAGTGACCACAGCGGCTCAATCTTAAGTTTATCAAACGACGAGAACACTTTTGTGCGCAAAAACAACAAAAATAACGACTTTATTTCAACTATTCACTTCCTTCTCCATGAGCCTGTAGTCGGTTAACGTAGTGTGATTGCGTAAAGCTACGTCACACGAAGGCTCACTATTGGCCGACGCTGGTCATGTGTGTGATGCGTGTGACGTACAATAACAGAAGCTTACGCTATTAAACTAGTAACCTGACTCGTGCAGAGGGAGAAATAAACCAATAGTTGAAATAAAGTCCTTATTTTTGCGCACAAAAAGTGTTCTCGTCGTTTGATAAAGTTAAGATTGAGCCGCTGTCGTCACTTGGACTATTTTAACGATGTCTTTAATGACTTTTCGAGTCATTCCCTCAAGAAGCCTATGGACTAGTATGCAGGAGCGATCTTAATATCTTAAATATCTTAATTTGTGTTGCGAAGATGAACGAAGGTCTTACGGGGTTGAACAACATGAGGGCGAGTAAATACTGACAGAATTTTCATTTTTGGGTCAACTAACCCTTTAACTGGAAATGAATACACACACACACACACACACAGTGTCATCATTTTGCGATGCCAGCTCTGATATCGAACTGAACTGAATAGCTCATTATTTGAGTTGATCTCATAGTTTGCATCATTGATTCTGTATTTCCCTGTTTCAGACTGTGAAAGCTGTACTGTATGAAGCGTTATATGAGTAATGTGATCACACACACACACACACCAGTACACCCCTGAGTGAACATTAAAGTGTTTTTGCTGTGGTTCCAGAGAGCGAACGCCTCCTCGACCGCAGGGACAGCGGCCCGAACCCGAGAACCGTGGCGTGAGTATCCTTAACACACTCACAATGATCATCACACACACACACTCTCAGATTTATATATCTGTATCTGGGCAACGATTAATTGGATCCAAAAATAACGTAATATATTTGTGTGTGTACTGTGTATAATTATTTGTTATATTTAAACACACAAAAGGGAAGAAATATTTGCATGTATATATCTCATTTATATTATATCTAAATTAAATTTTTTTATATATACATTTTCTGAAATATATTTGTGTGTGTTATATATGAAGAGTTCAGATGCAAAAGCCTCTAAGTGCCATTTGAAATTTTCTTCTTTAATGATGATTTTTATCAAGCTTGTATATTTAAGTTCAGTGATTTCACTTAAATGGCAATGATGATTGTTATTTAAGTGAAATTACTGAACTTAAATATACAAGTTTGATAAAAATCATCATTAAAGAAGAAAATTTCAAATGGCATTTAGAGGCTTTTGCATCTGAACTCTTCATTTATACATATGTATAATTATACACACACACATTATGTAAACACAAACTTTTACTTTGAATGTGATTAATTGTTTCACAGCACTTTTTTTCGAATATTATATTGTATATATACATATGTATACACACACACACACACACACGTCAGTCCCTCCAGAAAAACGTGATTATGCGATCTTGATTAATAATCAGCCGAAGTCCGCATATTTATTTGCATTTTTCAGGCACGCTGCACTTTCCGTGCATGATTTCATAATCCTCGCATTTTCATTCTGAAAAGTCCCATAAATCTGAGCGGAAAGTTGAGAAATGTTGCGTTTGCTTCACGAGTGCCGCCGCTGTCGCCATGGGAACGTTATGAAGTGGCGTGGCGTGAACATCATGGAAAAGCTGTAAAACAGGAGCACACTTTATTTTATTATATTTATTATTTACATTAGTTGTGGCATATTCCGTTTGTAAAGCTACCGAACGCGTTTGACTCCTCAAAGTTTTGTAAGTTTGATGTGTTTATTCAGGTCTGAAATATTCCAGCACGTTCTGTGACGTATATGTTTGCGTATCATAGCGAGTGATAAGAAATGCCTCTTCACGTTGAGAGCAGGGCGTTGGGAATCACTTCTCTTCTTCATCAAACCGCAGTTTCAGCGCATTTCCAAGAACGATCAGAGCGTGTGTCTGCAGGGACTGGCGTCGCAACGCAATGGTTGCACAAGGCTGCTGTGATGAAAGTGTTACGCGGACGGAGGGTGCTGGGCTAATTCATTAGGCGGACGCGCGTCCCGGCGGGGCTTATTAGGCGTCCCAGCGGCGGCGCGGGCGAGGGATGACTACAGCGTTGCATCACACTCACACACTCCTCTGAACATGAGTCTGCCGTCGACAACACTACAATACTATTATTACTTGATATAAAACTGAAGTATTAAAACAGATCATTATAAACTATATTTATATTTAATATTTATATATAAACAATATGAATGTAAGCCAGAGGAGAACTGGCCTGGGTTCTCCCAAGGTTTTTTCTCCATCCAATCTGATGGAGTTTTGGTTCCTTGCCACTGTCGCCTTGCTTTGGCTTGCTCAGTTGGGGTTATTTAATATTTAACAATATTATTGATCTGTGTTGTACTACTTTCATGTTATCACTGTGAAGCTGCTTTGATGCAATCTGTATTGTGAAAAGAGCTATATAAATAAATGTGACTTGACTTGACAGATCATTATATACACATTAAAATGACTACTTTTGACTAAAAAGAACTAATTCAAACTATTAATATAAAACTATAATGGCATTTAAATTAGGATAAAATGTTGAAAATCAGGAAAAAAGTTGAATTACTTGACATTTTTGGTCAAGTCAATGTTATAATTTTGACTTTTTATCACTGATAATGACTTAGATCAAAATGTTGCCTTATTTCAACTATGAAAAGTATGACTCTTTAATAATAATTATACCTTATGTGTGTGTGTGCAGGGGTTCCAGGGCTTCGGCTTCGGTGACGGAGGCTTCCAGATGTCTTTCGGGATCGGGGCTTTTCCTTTCGGGATCTTTGCCACGGCGTTCAACATCAACGACGGGAGACCGCCTCCAGGTGAGACTCGAGCACACCTGCAGTAACAGCTCATTAATACAGTCAGCAACTAAAACACGATTTTTCACGGAATGAACCCAAGAAAGAAGGAGGATGCAAATAAATCTCTTGCTGTTTCCATCCACACGTTTTTATCCGCATTAAAGGAGTAGTTCACTTTTGAAAAAACTTTAGCTGATAATTTACTCGCCCCCATGTCATCCAAGATGTCCATGTCTTTCTTTCTTCAGTCGAAAAGAAATTAAGGTTTTTGATGAAAACATTCCAGGATTTTTCTCCATATAATGGACTTCAATGGGGTCCAAACGGTTCAAGGTCCAAAAGACAGTTAATAACAGTTTCAGATGCAGCTTCAAATGTCTTTAAACGACACCAGACGATGAATAAGGGTCTTATCATGCGGAACGATCGCTTATTTCAAAACTTATTCCAAAAATGTAACTTTTCTAAGGACAAATGCTAGCCTTGCTCTATTCTGTGAGGCGCGTTTGTAACGTCACGTAATACGTAATTACGTTCAAAAGGTCACGGGCGACGTAGCCGGAAGTACAGAATCAGTGTTTACAAGTTGAACGCATAGGTTGAACGTGCAAACTAACTCAAACGCCGTTTACAAAAAAAGGAATTAAAAGGTAAAACAACGATGTCGGACTATTTTGATTCTGTACTTCCGGCTACGTCGCCCGTGACCTTTTGAACGTAATTACATATTACATGACGTTACAAACGCGCCTCACTAATTAACTGTCTTTTGGACCTCGGACCGTTTGGACCCCATTGAAGTCCATTATATGGAGAAAATGCTGGAATGTTTTCATCAAAAACCTTCATTTCTTTTCGACTGAAGAAAGAAAGACATGGACAACTTGGATGACACGGGGGCGAGTAAATTATCAGCTAAAGTTTTTTCAAAAGTGAACTAATCCTTTAAGTGATATTGAAGGACAACGCCTGATATAAACAAGTTTGACCTTTGACCCCGCAGCGGCCCCAGGGACCCCTCAGCACACGGACGAGCAGTTCCTGTCCCGCCTGTTCCTGTTGGTGGCGCTGCTCATCATGTTCTGGCTGCTGATCGCCTGAACAGACATGCTCTCACTCAGTGTGTGTGTGTGTGTGTGTGTCGATTACAGTCCCGACATCTGAACATCAAATCGAGATGCGTTTACCAGGTGAGTGAAACACCAGCAGATATTAGGGAAATTAAATGAGTTTTTGCTTAAACGAGCTCAATGATCTGCCAATGGGGTCAGAAAATAATCTTTGTGATTTTGTGTGGTTTTTTTCTGACTCCACTGGTTAGGGTTTTATGCAAAAACTCACTTCATTTTGATTTATTTCTCCAGAAAACAAGACCTAATATCTGATGGCCTTTTACTACTCCTTTAAATGCATCTTGACTTAAGAATATTTAGATATTTGGACTGGAAACAAGACAAAAATACTGAGAAAGAAAAGCTTTTTTGGCTCTTCCTGAAGGCTATAGATTCACTAAAATCTCAGTTGTGTGTGTGTGTGTGTGTGTGTGTCTCCTGATGGGATTTTAAAAGAAACTCGTCTTTTTCTATGAAAGAGATTGCATGTCTGCGATGCTGTAAACACACTCTTCTGCTCGTGTTCCTGGACTTTCCATTTCTAATCCTTCATTGGAGTTTTGTAGAGTTACGGTGCCAAATGATGTCACTCGTGTTAACAGCAAAACAATATTTGTAGAAATCCCATAAACACATAAACGCTCTTCTGGACCATAACCTTGAACGTTTCATTTTTCCTTTCATTAACACTTTCAATGTTTTTCTTTTGTAAATATATTTCAACAGGGATTACACTAAAGCTTTGATCATTCTAATAAAACGGTTGTAGAAATTAATTCAGAGCGTCTTAATGACACATGATGATTTATTCATATAGAATGACGATGTTTATTAAGTTTCTGCGAATATTTGGGAGGGAATGTGTGAAAAGCATAAGCACATGTCGACTGTCCAGATGATTATTAAAATTAATTTTAAACATGTTTTTGAAGGGTTTTTATTGTGTGTGTGAGAGTGCGCCGTCTTCTGTTAAACTAGTCAAAACTATGATAAAGTGATGAAAATATAAGGAAAAGGATGAAATTACTTTTTTGTCTTAAGAATTTTGACATTTTAATGTCATTAATTCAACCTTTGATGTCATAATTCTGACTTAAGGCAGTTTTCGACTTTATACCATTGACTCTAAAAAAATATTGTTGGTTTAACTTAAAAAATTAAGTAACCTGGTTGCCTTAAAATTTTAAGTTGATTGAACTGGAAAAAGTGAGTTAATACAATGAAGGAGATTAATTTAACCCTTAAAGACCTATACAGCCGCCGGCGGCTAAAAAAAACTGTTGTTCTTAAATGTTAAATAACTTTTGAACCGCTGCTCCAATCCGTATGCTTTAAAAAGTCCCATAAAGAGGAGATTCGCGGCTTTTCTGTGATATCGGGTTAATCGCGTTTGGACATTCAGAAGCTCCGTAGTGAATGTGATTGCGTCATCAAGTTTTGATCAGCACTGATTCGTCAAAGAAACCCGTGCGTTTTTTTCCTCTGAGCCAATCATAAATGACTGTTAATGCTTAGTCCCACCCCATCCCCAGATTGGTTAAAACTATCATCTACTCAACCAATAAATATAGTTCTTGGTCTTTTGCACGACCAATTAGCACCTTTCTTTAGAAATTTGAACAGAGGTAAAGTCAAAGTAGTTCATATAGGCTATGTATGTATGTATGTGTGTGTGTGTGTTTATATATATATATATATATATAAGTTTTATTTATATATAAGTTGTTGTTTTTTTTTTTGCTTCATTGTTCTACTACAATGTTTCTATTTATGTTATTTCCTTAACTTTTTTGGACACATCTAAATTGTCAGTATGAAAAACACTGTTTTCACTGAAACAATGCTTTTCACTGAAAATCGCCTATAATAATGTTGTAATAAATACCTATAACTTGCTTAGGGATTGTTGCATGTAGTCAAAATTACATCTGGAAATGTAAAATATCCAAGTACAGCTTTCTAAAGGAAAAAATCCAAACTTCAGGACGATTTGTTTGAGTTGAGTAAAAAAAAATCACTACAAATATGCTGCCGTTTTTCTTAAATCTGGTAAATTCATCCATTCTAAGACAAATTAAATGTAAAATTGGATTATTTAAATGAGATAGATTGAAACTTCAAGTTCTCCTGATAAAAATGATATATGGCACTTGATGCTGACTGCTATAATGGGTTAGAAAAACAAAGAAAAGAACAAGCGGTGCAGGTGCTCCAAAAATGGTCTAGGTCTTTAAGGGTTAATCATCAGAAACTCAAAATAATAAGTTATCTCAACTAAATAAATTAAGTAAGTTGATTTGACAAAAGAAGAAATGTTGTGATAACAAATCTTGAAAATATTTTTTTTACAGTGTTGATAATTACTCATAATTTTAATTTTCGTAATTTCAACTGTCACAATTATGATTCTTTGACTTAATTATATCTTATAACTTACTGTCATAACCAATTTTGACTTTTTACAGCTTCAGTCAGAAGAATTTTGAGTTTTTGACTTACAATTTGTCATATTCCAACCATTGTCATAATTAATTTAAACTTTTTGTGCAGTTTTCGAATCAGTTTAGATTTTTTCCTACATCTTAAGTCGGAATTTTGAATTTATGCTATATCAGAATTTTGACTCATAATTTCAACCATAATGTCATAAGTCCAAGTTTTTGGCACAATTCGCAATTTTGACTCGAGTCAGTTTTGACTTTTTTTTTCTTCAAAATCTTTAATTCAGAATTTTCACTTCACATCATCATTTTGACATGTGTCTGAATTTTGACTCATAATTTCAAAAATACAAAACTGGTGTGCACATCCCAAACACCCAGTTTGGGCTCGCCTGCAGGACAACCGAGTAACAAACGACAAAAGAAGCGTGACGTCCGTACACTGAAAATAGTCGTACAAATTTTGACTTTTTTTACGTCTTATGTCAGAATTTTGACAGTCATAATTTGTCCAATAACTGACAGTCAGATGTTTTCGGGCTCCAGTGTAAAGCTGCATGTACTTGTCTTGCGTTCACTGGTCCTTGAACTCTGCGTCAAACATGATCTTCTGGATCTGCATTTTAACCGCGGCTCTTTTCTGCGGCGTCAGTCTTTTGAGGGCCGGGACGAAACTCAAGAGGAACAGCTCGTCCTCATCCAAGGCTTTCTGGACGCTCTTTAGAGGCTCGTTCTCCGAGACCCGTGTGTGTGTGTGTGTGTGTGTGTGTGTGTCGGATCCTCGGCTTCACTGGGAATCTTCCTCTTCCTGATGTGATTGCCCAGGAGCGAGAGGTTTTCTCTGTGTAATGCAGGTCTTCCCTCTTCATCTTACACTGCACCACTGCAGGACAACAGTTTCAAACATTCATTTTTCAAACTATTACAAAAATAGGTCTAGCAAATAACCTTGATATCAGCTTTAAACGAGGGAAAACACCAACAGGCACGTTTTACAATGATGGTTAACTGAGCTGGATGCATATAACACTTTACAACAAGGTTCATCAGCTCCCTTTCGAACTGTCACACAGAAAGGCTTCAGTCTTCAGAGAAAAAGAGTTTCCCAAAGCGTAAAGCTGCGCAATACGACTGTTCGAAAGGGTAGCGAGGTTACGTTAGTAATGGAGTCGCTAAATTACTTTAATAAACAAGAACTGATAATGAACAATAGGCTACTTCTGCAGCATTATTAGTTAATGCACTGAACTAACATGAACAAACATTGAACAGCTGGATTTGTATTAACTAACATTAATAAATACTGTAACAAATATTTTGATTATTGTTAGTTCATGTTAGAAATAAAAATCCTATTTCAACTTTTTTTTTTTCAGGTTATTTTCAGCTTTTTGGAATGATGTTGTACTGTCTTTATTAAAATAAGCCTCCTTTTTTTTTTGCCCGAATAAAATATTAAAGAACACTATAGCCTAAGATCTCTGCGTCTTACTTGTGAATAATAATTTGCAGACTAATAACTAATTATGTGTATGAATATGAAGGGTTCTACGGTAAGTATGTTTATTTTCACTGAATAGTGCGTGTAAAGCCCGCGCGCGCGTGAGATTTGACGCACTGACCGGAGAGCCCGACGGACGCGGCGATCTCCCTCCACGCGTCGACGCGCCGCTCCGAGCGCCGGTACCCGCGCAGCGACGCGTTGTAGAGCAGCGAGCGCGCGAACACGGTCTGGATCAGCTTCTCCTTCTCAGCCATTGAGTTTATTATTGAGTTGCCGCGGGGACGCGGCGCGTTTAAATCGTATTTCCGGCGCGTCAGAAACGCGCGACTCACGCATCGCAAGCGATTGGTAGATCACAGTTCGCAAGCGGATTAAGTGAATCAGGCTCTGATTTGATCATTTTTATTATTCGTCGGGATGATCCGATTCTGAGCTTGAAGATGAAAAGCCTCAAGCCGTGACTTCTATTCATTCCTAATATCATACAATTAAAATGTACTGGTTACTGGTGGGAGAATCCTGGGAATGAATAAAGTCAACACGGCGAACAATCTGAGGGACAATCCTCACATTCTCTTTTGGTTAATTTATGGGAATATTATTTTATGGTTATTATAAAAATAAAACATAAACAGTAGAAACAACCTCCCTGCAACACTCCATCTGAAGCTTATAGTTTTTGGTTACAAAAAACAACCAAATAGGAACGTTCTGTGTTTTGCTGCTTATATTTTTCCTTCTTATTCTTGTGATATTTTTTCTTGTCAGCTGGAACATAAAACAAAAGTTCAGCCAAAAACACAAATCTTTTTGTGTTGGATCATTTAAAACAAACTTAAGTCTTGTAAAACTTGAAGAAGTGTAGGAAAATAAACGGGCTGAATATTAATATGCCATATTTGTCTCGGTGTTTAATTCCTGATCAAGACCGTTTGACTGACGCTTGTGTTTCTATTTGTGACGCGACGCTCTGTTTAGCCCCGCCCACACTCAAATCTCATTGGTCTAAAACCCCGCCATGACGTCCCGCTTGCGCGGTAGAGGCGCGTGTCGCGCACTTTTGACGCGCCTGTGCAACAATTCCGGGAGCGCGTTGAGATCGACGCGTCTCAATAAACTCAATGGCCCTGACGGAGAAACTGATCCAGAGCGTCTCCGGTTACCCGGTGCTCTACAACGCGTCGCTGCACGATTATCGCAGTTCCGAGCGGCGCGTGAACGCGTGGAGGGAGGTCGCCGCGTGCGTCGGGCTCTCCGGTCAGTGCGTCAACATCACGCGCGCTCGACACGCGTTTGACTTTGAAAAGTGTTTTTATGTTCTGTTGATCTTGATGATTTCACACACACACATTTACAGCTGGAGACTCCGCACACTACAACGCGTCCGTTTCAATCTAACTGTTTGTGATCGTTGATAATTAAAGGCGCGTTCTGATTCTGACGCGTCGCTCGCGCTATAATGATGGACAATATAATGAAGTGAACAGGGATTCCTCTAGCGCGCGTTCTTGAGTTCCATATGTGTCGAATTATTAATATTTTTCAACCTTTTAATCCGCTTCCGTCGCGCTCCGTCTAAACGCGCGTCTTTCTGGAGAACTTTATAAAGTCTCTGATTCACAATATGAGTGAAGATTTATGATACTGTGCGATAAAAGAGACATTTATTAAAATTATCGCAGTATTGCAGTGATATTAATATACACCTTTTTATTGCTTTAAATATACCCAATTTGTGTCATAATCATATAGGCTACTTGTCATATTTCTATTCTTTAATGTTATTATTATGTCTTGTATTTACATTAAAGCTTCTTTCACTGAGGAAAATCAAATGATTGTCAATAAAGCTCTTTCTGATTCTGATTTTCATATAAAGGCTGATACAGATGCACGTCAAGCGTTTACTTTATAATGCTTTTATAGGATAAAATGCTAAAAATCAGCATGAAATTAAAACTGTCTATTCTTATTTTTGCATGGAATATGGTAATTTTTAGTATGTATTATAAATGATTATCCAACAGTCGAATTCCAGCTCAAGCCCCGCCTTCATTTGTTCTTAGAGGTCACGTGTTTGACTCGATGTTCGTCACTATCAGTTTCATCTCGACTTTAATTTCAATAGCGTGTTATTCATATTCTCGTCTGTATCTTTCCGTGTAATATACATCACGAATGACTGAATTTGCTCTTTTAATATCGATGTCTTTAATGCATTTTAACTGCTTTCTATGAAGGAGAAAATTATAAAGTGAAAAGCAGTCTTTCGAGTGTCGGCTCAGATGCGGCCCACATGCGGATCAGGCGTTACAGATGTGGCCGGATCTGAGCGACACCGTGTTTCTGTCCGTGTCTATCGTGTTTTTCACTGTAAACTAAAATTACGGTAAATTTCGGTAAAAAATCTGCAGCTGTGGTTGCCAGAAATGTACCGTTAAAATACAGTTGCAAAATTTTAAGTTCTACAGACTTAATTTGACAGTAAAAAAACATATTTCACTATCTGACAGATGCACTTTTATGATGGATAGATGTGAGTTTAACGCTGTTCTCCCGCTGCAGTGATCGAGTGCAAGAGAAGATGGAAGACCATCAGGGACCGATATATCCGAGAGCGGAGACTCTGCAAGCTGAAGAGAGAAGAAGGAGGCCGGCGCCTGCATTACTGGCCACACAGAGAAAGCCTCTCCTTCCTGGACAATCACATCCGGAAGAGGAAGATTCCCAGCGAAGCCGAGGCTCTGGAGGATCCGGACGACGGGGACGGAAGCGCTCGCGATTCGCCCGAGGAGTCGCTCGACGAGTCCAGCGGCGGAGACTCAAAGTCCAGCCTGGGAAACCAAGCCAAGAGTGACGGCAGGTTTGAGCCCAAGCATCCGCTCAAAGCGGCGATCCCGCTGACTCCCATAATGCCCCTGTCTATCGTGGCTCAGCTCAAACCCCTGCAACACATGAGGCCGCTGGCGTCCGGTCCTCCTCCGGGCCTGAAGGGGGCGCCGGCGTCCGGTTCATCAGCGCAGCCCGCGGAGGATCCGACACACACGCGGGTCTCGGAGCATCAGACACACACACGGGTCTCGGAGAACGAGCCTCTAAAGAGCGTCCAGAAAGCCTTGGATGAGGACGAGCTGTTCCTCTTGAGTTTCGTCCCGGCCCTCAAAAGACTGACGCCGCAGAAAAGAGCCGCGGTTAAAATGCAGATCCAGAAGATCATGTTTGACGCAGAGTTCAAGGACCAGTGAACGCAAGACAAGTACATGCAGCTTTACACTGGAGCCCGAAAACATCTGACTGTCAGTTATTGGACAAATTATGACTGTCAAAATTCTGACATAAGACGTAAAAAAAGTCAAAATTTGTACGACTATTTTCAGTGTACGGACGTCACGCTTCTTTTGTCGTTTGTTACTCGGTTGTCCTGCAGGCGACGGGTGTTTGGGATGTGCACACCAGTTTTGTATTTTTGAAATTATACGTCAAAATTCAGACACATGTCAAATTTATCATATGAAGTGAAAATTCTGAATTAAAGATGTAAAAAGTTCAAAACTTTCCTGCGTCAAAATTGCAACAAAAAGTGACATAATGGTTTAAATTGCGAGTCAAAATTCTGACTTAAGTCGTAAAAAGTCAATTGACCTAATGACATAAAGTCAAACCCTAACCCTAATAAAGTCAAATTCTGACTTAAGACATAAAAAGTAAAATCTGACTTGTGTCAAAATTGTGACAAAAGCTGAGATTTGACATTATGCTTGAAATTACGAGTCAAAACTCTGACTTAAATCGTAAAAAGTCAATTGACGCGAGTCAAATATGACAAAAATTCTGACGTAATTTTTTTTTTTTTTTAAATTTTACTTACAAAAAGTTGGAATTATGTCATTATGGTTGAAATTACGAGTCAAAACTGACTTGAGTCGTAAAAAAAGTCAAATTTTGATTTAGTGAAAATTCTTCTGACTTAACATGTAAAAAAGTCAAAATTACAACAAAAAGTTTAAATTATGACACACTAAGTCATAATAAGATGTAATTATGCCATAATGACAGAATTTTGACTTAACACTTAAAAAGTTGAAATTGACTTCAAATCTGACCGTTGAAATTATAATTCAATTAAAAAATTATAATTAAAATATAAAAAAGTTATAATTCTGATTTAAGTCATAATTATGAGTCATTTGAAAAGTAAAAACTGCCTTAAAAAGTCAGAATTATGACAAAAAATGTATGACATTGTCAATAAAATATATTGACACAATATATTTTTATTTATCAATATATAGACAATATCTATACTTGAGACAAAAGAATCATTTCAACTTTTCAGAGTTAAAGAGCGACGAACACACTCGTTCACTCCAGATCTGTCCCTCAGTAAAAGTAAAAGTAACTTCACACTGAAACATTTGATGCTTTATTTGTGTCTGAAGCTGGAAATAAAGTCCTGAGCGTTTGACTAGCTTTTTGATTAGAGATTTAGTGGCACAAAAGACCCTGTTTTTGTCAAATATCACTTAAAAATGTTCTTGCATTATTAAATATCTTGAACTGCTACAGTCTCGCGTGGATGTTAAATATTTTTTGATTGATTTTTTTTAAATCCAGGGATGCACCGATATGAAAATTTTGACCGATACCGAGCGATAATTCTTTATATTTGAAAGCCGATAACCGATATATCGGCCGATAAATCTAAATCCAAATTTGTATGTAATTTTTGAGAGCCTGATTATAAAAACAAAAGTCTCATCTGTAAAATCCACGTCTCAAACACACAGTTATAATGTTCTTATATTATAATTTTATGTAGCCGATATGAGAAACTTAACTGTTGCACTTGACAATATTTTCCTTTTTTTATTTTTATTTTTTTATATATATATTTTCCTTTTTTGATTCCAATCATATTCAAAACCATCATGTTGAACTGAACAATAATCCATTATTTATCAGCTTTAATATATCGGACACATTTTCTTATCAGACCGATATATAACATTAAAAATGAACCGATATCAGCCGATATATCCTGCATAAAATCCGTTTTTTAAAGATCTCACATAAAATAAATGTGAAATAATAACCGATGGAAGTCGGGGAATCATCATCATATATTTGAGTGTCTCAGACCAGCGCTGTTTTCCTTCAGCGTTTACTAACAGACACAAAGGGGTTAAAAGTAGAAACAATCAATTTAACACAACTGTAAAGCACACACTGAAATATATTGGAATTAATAACATCCTGAAACCACATGCATTTTTATAATGTATGAGACGCAAAAGTATATCAATCCCAATCAACACGACACTAAAAACCATAATCTCAACAATATAAAGCAAATTAATATCAGTAAGCCGCTGTTTATCGGGATCTGTGATCCTCCTTATCGGTGTGGCTCGAGACAGATTCTGAAAATCCATTAATTCCTGATGAAAAGCATGTGTTGGACTCGTATGATTACAAAGGATTTGTGGAGAATGAATAGAACATGTACAATATGGCTTTTTGTCAAAGGAGAGACACTGAAGGAGTGTGTTTGGGTGATAAGACACGAGTCGAGACGCCGCTCAAGTCTTTCTGCCGCGGGAAATTAAGAGCTCCACTTTTAGCTTCAGAAATTATGAAATAAAACCATGATGAGCAACAGTTAAAAGAATAAAGAAAATACAAAACAACTGCGAAAAATGTTTTCCAGTCGGAATCTCAAAACAAACTGAACAAGGACACATTTACTGGAGAATATTAAAGATATTAGATATTCATTTCTGAAAAATGCATTAAAATTAAGGGAGTTTATGCTCAAAACAAGATCTTGTTCACATGTTTCATTAAACAAGACTTTATATCTTCAGTTGTCTCGCGTCTCCAGTAAATGTGTCTTGATTTAAGTTTTGTTTTTTGCAGTAATATTGGTTTTACGAAGCATTATACTTGTGTTTTTCAAAGTTTCACCATAAAGCAAAATCTATAAGCATCATAGCAACTAACCAAGAAAATACGAACAAACTGCAATTTTTTTAGTCAGTTCGCCAGTACGAATATCAAAACATGCTTAAATCAAGATACATTTACAGGAAGCGATTGAAGATAGGCTATTACATTTCTGAAAAATGCATCAAAATTAAGGAAGTTAAAACTCACAACCTCGCCTAATATTGATATATTTTTCAGTGTTTAGATATTAGAGCTGGAAAATGAGCCAGAAACATTGAGGAAGAGCAGAATTTGAAATATGTTGCACAGAATTACATTTCTAATTCGTACATATTTTACGAGGCGAATGACCTACCCCTGACCCCGCCCCTAAACCTACCCATGACAAATGTGCAAATTCACCGGATGAATGGGCTTTATGCACAGCTGCACTACTGGAATTATTGGCCAAACTTGATTAATTCAGGTGTGCCTGACCTCAGTAGTCATGGCAACAATAATCAGACACACCTGAATTAATCAAGCTTGTCCAATAATGGCAGACAGGAAACGAGGAGCTGGCTGAAGTTCAGGAAGTAGTGCAGCTGTGCATAAACTTTTAGTAGCCTACGAATTAGCCACTTTTTAATCACTCGTATGAATTTGTACGAATTGGTCGTGAGATAGCGTTGGAAAAATGCACCAGAATTAAAGGTGGAGAATTAGCACAAACTCACTTCATTTTTCATTAATCAAGTCTTAATATCTTCTCCTCCAGTAAATGTGTCTTGATTTAGATATTAGTGCTGGAAAACGTCCCGTGTTTTGCAGTGATATTGGTTTTATGAAGCATTTCTGCGTGTGTTTCTCCACGTTCCTCCATATAAACCCAAACACAGCTCTGAGCGCTGATAAAGGGCGGCGCAGTGAATGCTGGGATCTGCGAGGGTTAAACGGGTTTGACACGCAGGAAATCTCATGCAAATGCCGGACCCGAAGCTGATCCTCTCGGAGAATCGCAGCACATTTATCTGTCGGCACAACAATGAGGATTTCCGGCTCTCAAACGTCTCATTTGATACAGTGGAATCAGATTTGTGGTCAGCTAAAGCCAGATTACCTGCGTCTCCTGAACACCTTCACAAAACGGCCCAGATTAGCTGGGATTTTCCACACACTTTACACTTTCTCCCCCTCGGCTGTATGGAAGGATTATGTTTTGTCTCCTCGCTTTTAATCTATTTGGTAAATGTGTGTTTGACACCGAGCCGCTCTTATATGAGTGTGTTCTCTGAAGCCCATGGCATTGTGGGTCCAGGAGTGGCAGGAGAACATGTTCGTGGACCAGAAGCGCTTCTCGTTCAGCATCGACCGCATTCTGGAGAACCGGGAGCCCGTCTCGGAGAGCCCTGGTGTTTCGGGATCCTGCGAGGAGAAGCTGGCCTCGGGATCCGCTCCGGAGACTCACGGATGCTTGTGTTCGCACTGTGGAGAGATTATACACCGTAAGACACGCTTTCTTTCCTTTCTGCACCTCAACATTCACATCAAGGAGAAACTCCAGGTTAACCTGTGTGTTTGCATGACGTGTCGTGTACTCTTCACAATAATGTTCAGTTGACACCCTTAACGTCAGCAGTTATTAATCTTAGTTCATTTTAATTTTGACATTTACACGGCTTTCTTTCTATTGTCCTTTGAATCCTCAAAGAAAAACTCCAGGATTTCATGCGTGTCTCGCGAAAATACTACAATACTATTAGCGAAGTCAGCTCATTACTTCAAAGATTTATTATATTATTATTATTAATTACAGCGAAATCAGCTAATTACAGCAAAGTAAGCGAATTAAAGCGAAGTAAGAGAATTACAGCGAAGTAAGCGATTTACAGCGACGTACAAAAAAGTAAGCTAATTACAGCGAAGTAAGCAAATTAAAGCAAAGTAAGAGAATTACAGCGAAGTAAGAGAATTACAACGAAGTAAGAGAATTACGGCGAAGTAAGCGAATTACAGCGAAGTACAACGAAGTAAGCTAATTACAGCGAAGTAAGCGAATTAAAGCGAAGTAAGAGAATTACAGCAAAGTAAGAGAATTACAACGAAGTAAGCGAATTATAGCAAAGTAAGCGAATTACAGCAAAGTAAGCGAATTACAGCAAAGTAAGAGAATTACAACGAAGTAAGCGAATTACAGCAAAGTAAGCGAATTACAGCAAAGTAAGCGAATTAAAGCGAAGTAAGTGAATTACAGCGAAGTAAGAGAATTACAACGAAGTAAGCGAATTATAGCAAAGTAAGCGAATTACAGCAAAGTAAGCGAATTACAGCAAAGTAAGAGAATTACAACGAAGTAAGCGAATTACAGCGAAGTACAACGAAGTAAGCGAATTACAGCGAAGTAAGCGAATTAAAGCGAAGTAAGAGAATTACAGCAAAGTAAGCGAATTACGGCGAAGTAAGCGAATTACAGCGAAGTAAGAGAATTACAACGAAGTAAGCGAATTATAGCGAAGTAAGCGAATTACAGCAAAGTAAGCGAATTACAGCAAAGTAAGAGAATTACAACGAAGTAAGCGAATTACAGCGAAGTACAACGAAGTAAGCGAATTACAGCGAAGTAAGCGAATTAAAGCGAAGTAAGAGAATTACAGCAAAGTAAGCGAATTACGGCGAAGTAAGCGAATTACAGCGAAGTACAACGAAGTAAGCTAATTACAGCGAAGTAAGCGAATTAAAGCGAAGTAAGAGAATTACAGCAAAGTAAGCGAATTACAGCGAAGTAAGAGAATTACAGCAAAGTAAGCGAATTACAGCGAAGTAAGCGAATTAAAGCGAAGTAAGAGAATTACAGCAAAGTAAGCAAATTACAGCGAAGTAAGAGAATTACAGCGAAGTAAGCGAATTACAGCGAAGTAAGCGAATTAAAGTGAAGTAATAGAATTACAACAAAGTAAACTAATTACAGCGAAGTAATAGAATTACAACAAAGTAAACTAATTACAGCGAAGTAAGCGGATTAAAGTGAAGTAAGAGAATTACAACGAAGTAAGCGAATTACAGCGAAGTAAGAGAATTACAGCAAAGTAAGCGAATTACGGCGAAGTAAGCGAATTACAGCGAAGTACAACGAAGTAAGCTAATTACAGCGAAGTAAGCTAATTACAGAGAAGTAAGCGAATTAAAGCGAAGTAAGAGAATTACAGCAAAGTAAGCGAATTACAGCGAAGTAAGAGAATTACAGCAAAGTAAGCGAATTACGGCGAAGTAAGCGAATTACAGCGAAGTACAACGAAGTAAGCTAATTACAGCGAAGTAAGCGAATTAAAGCGAAGTAAGAGAATTACAGCAAAGTAAGCGAATTACAGCGAAGTAAGAGAATTACAGCAAAGTAAGCGAATTACAGCGAAGTAAGCGAATTAAAGCGAAGTAAGAGAATTACAGCAAAGTAAGCGAATTACAGCGAAGTAAGAGAATTACAGCAAAGTAAGCGAATTACAGCGAAGTAAGCGAATTAAAGCGAAGTAAGAGAATTACAGCAAAGTAAGCGAATTACAGCGAAGTAAGAGAATTACAGCAAAGTAAGCTAATTACAGCGAAGTAAGCGAATTAAAGCGAAGTAAGAGAAATACAGCAAAGTAAGCGAATTACGGCGAAGTAAGCGAATTACAGCGAAGTACAACGAAGTAAGCTAATTACAGCGAAGTAAGCGAATTAAAGCGAAGTAAGAGAATTACAGCAAAGTAAGCGAATTAAAGCGAAGTAAGAGAATTACAGCAAAGTAAGCTAATTACAACGAAGTAAGCGAATTACAGCGAAGTAAGCTAATTACAGCGAAGTACAACGAAGTAAGCTAATTACAGCGACGTAAGTTAATTAAAGCGAAGTAAGAGAATTACAGCGAAGTAAGAGAATTAAAATGAAGTAAGAGAATTCCAACGAAGTAAGCGAATTACAGCAAAGCGAATTACAGCGAAGCGAATTACAGCGAAGTAAGCGAATTAAAGCAAAGTAAGCTAATTACAGCGAAGTAAGCTAATTACAGAAAAGTAAGCGAATTAAAGCAAAGTAAGAGAATTACAACGAAGTAAGCGAATTACAGCAAAGTAAGCGAATTAAAGCAAAGTAAGCTAATTACAGCGAAGTAAGTGAATTATAGCAAAGTAAGCGAATTACAGCGAAGTAAGCGAATTACAGCAAAGTAAGCGAATTACAGCGAAGTACAACGAAGTAAGCTAATTACAGTGAAGTACGCGAATTACAGCGAAGTACAACGAAGTAAGCTAATTACAGAGAAGTAAGCGAATTAAAGCGAAGTACAACGAAGTAAGCGAATTACAGCAAAGTAAGCGAATTACAGCGAAGTAAGAGAATTACAACGAAGTAAGCTAATTACAGCGAAGTACAACGAAGTAAGCTAATTACAGCGAAGTAAGCTAATTAAAGCGAAGTAAGAGAATTACAGCGAAGTAAGAGAATTAACATGAAGTAAGAGAATTCCAACGAAGTAAGCGAATTACAGCAAAGCGAATTACAGCAAAGCGAATTACAGCGAAGCGAATTACAGCGAAGTAAGCGAATTACAGCAAAGCGAATTACAGCGAAGCGAATTACAGCAAAGTACAACGAAGTAAGCTAATTACAGCGAAGTAAGCGAATTAAAGCAAAGTAAGCTAATTACAGCGAAGTAAGCTAATTACAGAAAAGTAAGCGTATTAAAGCAAAGTAAGAGAATTACAACGAAGTAAGCGAATTACAGCAAAGCGGATTACAGCGAAGTAAGTGAATTTCAGCGAAGTATGCGAATTAAAGCAAAGTAAGCTAATTACAGCGAAGTAAGTGAATTAAAGCGAAGTAAGCGAATTAAAGCAAAGTAAGAGAATTACAACGAAGTAAGCGAATTACAGCAAAGCGGATTACAGCGAAGTAAGTGAATTTCAGCGAAGTATGCGAATTAAAGCAAAGTAAGCTAATTACAGCGAAGTAAGTGAATTAAAGCGAAGTAAGCGAATTACAGCGAAGTATGAGAATTAAAGCAAAGTAAGGAAATTACAGCGAAGTAAGCGAATTATAGCAAAGTAAGCTAATTACAGTGAAGTAAGCGAATTAAAGCAAAGTAAGTGAATTTCAGCGAAGTAAGTGAATTATAGCAAAGTAAGCTAATTACAGTGAAGTAAGCGAATTACAGCAAAGTAAGCGAATTAAAGCAAAGTAAGTGAATTTCAGCGAACTATGCGAATTAAAGCAAAGTATGCGAATTACAGCGAAGTAAGCGAATTACAGCAAAGTAAGCGAATTACAGCGAAGTACAACGAAGTAAGCTAATTACAGTGAAGTACGCGAATTACAGCGAAGTACAACGAAGTAAGCTAATTACAGAGAAGTAAGCGAATTAAAGCGAAGTAAGAGAATTAAAATGAAGTAAGAGAATTCCAACGAAGTAAGCGAATTACAGCGAAGCGAATTACAGCGAAGTAAGCGAATTACAGCAAAGCGAATTACAGCGAAGCGAATTACAGCAAAGTACAACGAAGTAAGCTAATTACAGCGAAGTAAGCGAATTAAAGCAAAGTAAGCTAATTACAGCGAAGTAAGCTAATTACAGCGAAGTAAGCGAATTAAAGCAAAGTAAGCTAATTACAGCGAAGTAAGTGAATTACAGCGAAGTAAGCGAATTACAGCGAAGTAAGCGAATTAAAGCAAAGTAAGCTAATTACAACGAAGTAAGCGAATTACAGCAAAGCGGATTACAGCGAAGTAAGTGAATTACAGCGAAGTAAGTGAATTAAAGCGAAGTAAGTGAATTACAGCGAAGTATGCGAATTAAAGCAAAGTAAGGAAATTACAGCGAAGTAAGCGAATTATAGCAAAGTAAGCGAATTAAAGCAAAGTAAGTGAATTTCAGCGAAGTATGCGAATTAAAGCAAAGTAAGTGAATTACAGAAAAGTAAGCGAATTAAAGCAAAGTAAGAGAATTACAACGAAGTAAGCGAATTACAGCAAAGTAAGCGAATTAAAGCAAAGTAAGCTAATTACAGCGAAGTAAGTGAATTATAGCAAAGTAAGCGAATTACAGCGAAGTAAGCGAATTACAGCAAAGTAAGCGAATTACAGCGAAGTACAACGAAGTAAGCTAATTACAGTGAAGTACGCGAATTACAGCGAAGTACAACGAAGTAAGCTAATTACAGAGAAGTAAGCGAATTAAAGCGAAGTACAACGAAGTAAGCGAATTACAGCAAAGTAAGCGAATTACAGCGAAGTAAGAGAATTACAACGAAGTAAGCTAATTACAGCGAAGTACAACGAAGTAAGCTAATTACAGCGAAGTAAGCTAATTAAAGCGAAGTAAGAGAATTACAGCGAAGTAAGAGAATTAAAATGAAGTAAGAGAATTCCAACGAAGTAAGCGAATTACAGCAAAGCGAATTACAGCAAAGCGAATTACAGCGAAGCGAATTACAGCGAAGTAAGCGAATTACAGCAAAGCGAATTACAGCGAAGCGAATTACAGCAAAGTACAACGAAGTAAGCTAATTACAGCGAAGTAAGCGAATTAAAGCAAAGTAAGCTAATTACAGCGAAGTAAGCTAATTACAGAAAAGTAAGCGTATTAAAGCAAAGTAAGAGAATTACAACGAAGTAAGCGAATTACAGCAAAGTAAGCGAATTAAAGCAAAGTAAGAGAATTACAACGAAGTAAGCGAATTACAGCAAAGCGGATTACAGCGAAGTAAGTGAATTTCAGCGAAGTATGCGAATTAAAGCAAAGTAAGCTAATTACAGCGAAGTAAGTGAATTAAAGCGAAGTAAGCGAATTACAGCGAAGTATGAGAATTAAAGCAAAGTAAGGAAATTACAGCGAAGTAAGCGAATTATAGCAAAGTAAGCTAATTACAGTGAAGTAAGCGAATTAAAGCAAAGTAAGTGAATTTCAGCGAAGTAAGTGAATTATAGCAAAGTAAGCTAATTACAGTGAAGTAAGCGAATTACAGCAAAGTAAGCGAATTAAAGCAAAGTAAGTGAATTTCAGCGAACTATGCGAATTAAAGCAAAGTATGCGAATTACAGCGAAGTAAGCGAATTACAGCAAAGTAAGCGAATTACAGCGAAGTACAACGAAGTAAGCTAATTACAGTGAAGTACGCGAATTACAGCGAAGTACAACGAAGTAAGCTAATTACAGAGAAGTAAGCGAATTAAAGCGAAGTAAGAGAATTAAAATGAAGTAAGAGAATTCCAACGAAGTAAGCGAATTACAGCGAAGCGAATTACAGCGAAGTAAGCGAATTACAGCAAAGCGAATTACAGCGAAGCGAATTACAGCAAAGTACAACGAAGTAAGCTAATTACAGCGAAGTAAGCGAATTAAAGCAAAGTAAGCTAATTACAGCGAAGTAAGCTAATTACAGCGAAGTAAGCGAATTAAAGCAAAGTAAGCTAATTACAGCGAAGTAAGTGAATTACAGCGAAGTAAGCGAATTACAGCGAAGTAAGCGAATTAAAGCAAAGTAAGCTAATTACAACGAAGTAAGCGAATTACAGCAAAGCGGATTACAGCGAAGTAAGTGAATTACAGCGAAGTAAGTGAATTAAAGCGAAGTAAGTGAATTACAGCGAAGTAAGCGAATTATAGCAAAGTAAGCGAATTAAAGCAAAGTAAGTGAATTTCAGCGAAGTATGCGAATTAAAGCAAAGTAAGTGAATTAAAGCAAAGTAAGTGAATTTCAGCGAAGTATGCGAATTAAAGCAAAGTAAGCTAATTACAGCGAAGTAAGTGAATTAAAGCGAAGTAAGCGAATTACAGCGAAGTATGCGAATTAAAGCAAAGTAAGGAAATTACAGTGAAGTAAGCGAATTACAGCAAAGTAAGCGAATTAAAGCAAAGTAAGTGAATTTCAGCGAAGTAAGTGAATTATAGCAAAGTAAGCTAATTACAGTGAAGTAAGCGAATTACAGCAAAGTAAGCGAATTAAAGCAAAGTAAGTGAATTTCAGCGAACTATGCGAATTAAAGCAAAGTATGCGAATTACAGCGAAGTAAGCGAATTACAGCAAAGTACGCGAATCACAGCGAAGTACAACGAAGTAAGCTAATTACAGAGAAGTAAGCGAATTAAAGCGAAGTAAGAGAATTAAAATGAAGTAAGAGAATTCCAACGAAGTAAGCGAATTACAGCGAAGCGAATTACAGCGAAGTAAGCGAATTACAGCAAAGCGAATTACAGCAAAGTAAGCGAATTACAGCAAAGTACAACGAAGTAAGCTAATTACAGCGAAGTAAGCGAATTAAAGCAAAGTAAGCTAATTACAGCGAAGTAAGCTAATTACAGAAAAGTAAGCGTATTAAAGCAAAGTAAGAGAATTACAACGAAGTAAGCGAATTACAGCAAAGTAAGCGAATTAAAGCAAAGTAAGAGAATTACAACGAAGTAAGCGAATTACAGCAAAGCGGATTACAGCGAAGTAAGTGAATTACAGCGAAGTAAGTGAATTAAAGCGAAGTAAGTGAATTACAGCGAAGTAAGTGAATTAAAGCGAAGTAAGTGAATTACAGCGAAGTAAGCGAATTACAGCAAAGCGAATTACGGCGAAGTAAGCGAATTACAGCAAAGTACAACGAAGTAAGCTAATTACAGCGAAGTAAGCGAATTAAAGCAAAGTAAGCTAATTACAGCGAAGTAAGCTAATTACAGAAAAGTAAGCGAATTAAAGCAAAGTAAGAGAATTACAACGAAGTAAGCGAATTACAGCAAAGTAAGCGAATTAAAGCAAAGTAAGAGAATTACAACGAAGTAAGCGAATTACAGCAAAGCGGATTACAGCGAAGTAAGTGAATTACAGCGAAGTAAGTGAATTAAAGCGAAGTAAGTGAATTACAGCGAAGTAAGTGAATTAAAGCGAAGTAAGTGAATTACAGCGAAGTAAGTGAATTAAAGCGAAGTAAGTGAATTACAGCGAAGTAAGCGAATTAAAGCAAAGTAAGCGAATTAAAGCAAAGTAAGTGAATTTCAGCGAAGTATGCGAATTAAAGCAAAGTAAGCTAATTACAGCGAAGTAAGTGAATTAAAGCGAAGTAAGCGAATTACAGCGAAGTATGCGAATTAAAGCAAAGTAAGGAAATTACAGCGAAGTAAGCGAATTATAGCAAAGTAAGCTAATTACAGCGAAGTAAGCGAATTACAGCAAAGTAAGCGAATTAAAGCAAAGTAAGTGAATTTCAGCGAACTATGCGAATTAAAGCAAAGTAAGCTAATTACAGTGAAGTAAGCGAATTACAGCAAAGTAAGCGAATTAAAGCAAAGTAAGAGAATTACAACGAAGTAAGCGAATTACAGCAAAGCGGATTACAGCGAAGTAAGGAAATTACAGCGAAGTAAGCGAATTATAGCAAAGTAAGCTAATTACAGCGAAGTAAGCGAATTACAGCAAAGTAAGCGAATTAAAGCAAAGTAAGTGAATTTCAGCGAACTATGCGAATTAAAGCAAAGTAAGCTAATTACAGTGAAGTAAGCGAATTACAGCAAAGTAAGCGAATTAAAGCAAAGTAAGAGAATTACAACGAAGTAAGCGAATTACAGCAAAGCGGATTACAGCGAAGTAAGGAAATTACAGCGAAGTAAGCGAATTAAAGCAAAGTAAGCAAATTACAGTGAAGCCAGCTAATTACAGCGAAGTACGCAAATTACTGAAATTAGTTAATTTGTTTGAAATTGATCGTGAAGCAACCGTTACCCTCGGCTTATTTGCATCGTAAAATTAATGATTTTAATGAATGTAATGCATGCATGAATTTATCCTCAAGAAATCTCAAATAAAAACCTAGCCCTAACCATAGATGTCAACCCACCCGTTTTTTTCCAAGTTTCTCGCGTATTTTAGCTTTTTTCCCGCTGTCTTTCCATTTTAGTATTTTAGTAAAAAAAATCCCTTATTTTGGGGATGGATTCCGGGAAATCTCACTATTTTCAATGTTCAATGTTGACAGCTATGGCCCTAACACTAACATCAATATAAATATTGATTTAATAATTATAAGATATTTCTGCCGTAATTGTTAATAACAGGCATTTTACAGAAATATTGTTTACAGAATAACATTAAAGTGTTAAAATATTGGTAATTCTCCGTTTAGCCGGTCACATACGGTCCAGCTGCAGAAGTTCAGATATTTGAATGCATCCGAAGCTCTGAAAGCCGGCTTTAGCCACCTCGTAAAGTTTGTAGGAATTGCAGCATGTTCTTCTCAGTGAGTTTTCTGTGCTGTAGTTTGGGGTCCGAGGATGTTAGCAGACCCGGCTCCTGCTGCAGAATCATCCAGCTTCGCTCACGTTCAGAGGAGGGTTCGGCGGCACCGCACGATCTTCACCGAGGAACAGCTGGAGGCTCTGGAGGACCTGTTCCGGCAGAACCAGTATCCCGACATCAACACCAGAGAGGACCTGGCCCAGCGCACACACCTGCGAGAGGAGAGAGTCGAGGTCATCCTGAACCATTCATAAGTCATCTCTCACCCTTAAACTTACAGCTTACAGAAGTGTGTTCTTGGTCCTATCAAAGGGATAGTTCACCCAAAACTGACAATTAGATCATGATTTACTCACCCTCAAGCCATCCTTGCAGTAAATGACCTTCTTTCAGACGAATACAATCAGTTATATTAAAACATTTCCTGCCCCTTCCGAGCTTTATAATGGCAGTTTCTGTTTTGAAGTCTATAAAAGTGCATCTATCCATCATAAAAGTGCATCTGTCCATCATAAAAGTGCATCTGTCCATGATAAAAATGCATCTATCATCATAAAAGTGCATCTATCCATCATAAAAGTGCATCTGTCCATCATAAAAGTGCATCTGTCCATCATAAAAGTGCATCTATCCATCATAAAAGTGCATCCGTCCATCATAAAAGTGCATCTATCCATTATAAAAGTGCATCTATCCATCATAAAAGTGCATCTATCCATCATAAAAGTGCATCTGTCCATCATAAAAGTGCATCTATCCATCATAAAAATGCATCTGTCCATCATAAAAGTGCATCTATCCATCATAAAAGTGCATCTATCCATCATAAAAATGCATCTGTCCATCATAAAAGTGCATCTGTCCATCATAAAAGTGCATCTGTCCATCATAAAAGTGCATCTGTCAAAAAAAGTGCATCTATCCATCATAAAAGTGCATCCGTCCATCATAAAAGTGCATCTATCCATCATAAAAATGCATCTGTCCATCATAAAAGTGCATCTATCCATCATAAAAGTGCATCTATCCATCATAAAAATGCATCTGTCCATCATAAAAGTGCATCTATCCATCATAAAAATGCATCTGTCCATCATAAAAGTGCATCTATCCATCATAAAAGTGCATCTATCCATCATAAAAATGCATCTGTCCATCATAAAATGCATCTGTCCATCATAAAAGTGCATCTGTCCATCATAAAAATGCATCTGTCCATCATAAAAGTGCATCTATCCATCATAAAAGTGCATCTATCCATCATAAAAGTGCATCTGTCCATCATAAAAATGCATCTGTCCATCATAACAGTGCATCTGTCCATCATAAAAGTGCATCTGTCCATCATAAAAGTGCATCTGTCAAAAAAAGTGCATCTATCCATCATAAAAGTGCATCCGTCCATCATAAAAGTGCATCTATCCATTATAAAAGTGCATCTATCCATCATAAAAGTGCATCTGTCCATCATAAAAGTGCATCTATCCATCATAAAAGTGCATCTGTCCATCATAAAATGCATCTGTCCATCATAAAAGTGCATCTGTCCATCATAAAAATGCATCTGTCCATCATAAAAGTGCATCTGTCCATCATAAAAGTGCATCTATCCATTATAAAAGTGCATCTATCCATCATAAAAGTGCATCTGTCCATCATAAAAGTGCATCTATCCATCATAAAAGTGCATCTGTCCATCATAAAAGTGCATCTGTCCATCATAAAAGTGCATCTGTTCATCATAAAAATGCATCTGTCCATCATAAAAATGCATCTATCCATCATAAAAGTGCATCTGTCCATCATAAAAGTGCATCTGTCCATCATAAAAGTGCATCTGTCCATCATAAAAGTGCATCTGTCCATCATAAAAGTGCATCTGTCAAAAAAAGTGCATCTGTCCATCATAAAAGTGCATCTGTCAAAAAAAGTGCATCTGTCCATCATAAAAGTGCATCTGTCAAAAAAAGTGCATCTATCCATCATAAAAGTGCATCCGTCCATCATAAAAGTGCATCTATCCATCATAAAAGTGCATCTGTCCATCATAAAAGTGCATCTATCCATCATAAAAGTGCATCTGTCCATCATAAAAGTGCATCTGTCCATGATAAAAGTGCATCTGTCCATCATAAAAGTGCATCTATCCATCATAAAAGTGCATCTGTCCATCATAAAAGTGCATCTGTCCATCATAAAAGTGCATCTGTCCATCATAAAAGTGCATCTGTCCATCATAAAAGTGCATCTGTCCATCATAAAAGTGCATCTATCCATCATAAAAGTGCATCTGTCCATCATAAAAGTGCATCTGTCAAAAAAGTGCATCTGTCCATCATAAAAGTGCATCTGTCAAAAAGTGCATCTGTCCATCATAAAAGTGCATCTGTCAAAAAAAGTGCATCTATCCATCATAAAAGTGCATCCGTCCATCATAAAAGTGCATCTATCCATCATAAAAGTGCATCTGTCCATCATAAAAGTGCATCTATCCATCATAAAAGTGCATCTGTCCATCATAAAAGTGCATCTGTCCATGATAAAAGTGCATCTGTCCATCATAAAAGTGCATCTGTCCATCATAAAAGTGCATCTATCCATCATAAAAGTGCATCTGTCCATCATAAAAGTGCATCTGTCCATCATAAAAGTGCATCTGTCCATCATAAAAGTGCATCTGTCCATCATAAAAGTGCATCTGTCCATCATAAAAGTGCATCTATCCATCATAAAAGTGCATCTATCCATCATAAAAGTGCATCTATCCATCATAAAAGTGCATCTGTCCATCATAAAAGTGCATCTGTCCATCATAAAAATGCATCTGTCCATCATAAAAGTGCATCTGTCCATCATAAAAGTGCATCTGTCCATCATAAAAGTGCATCTATCCATCATAAAAGTGCATCTATCCATCATAAAAGTGCATCTGTCAAAAAAGTGCATCTGTCCATCATAAAAGTGCATCTGTCAAAAAAGTGCATCTATCCATCATAAAAGTGCATCCGTCCATCATAAAAGTGCATCTGTCCATCATAAAAGTGCATCTGTTCATCATAAAAGTGCATCTGTCCATCATAAAAGTGCATCTGTTCATCATAAAAGTGCATCTGTCCATCATAAAAGTGCATCTGTCCATCATAAAAGTGCATCTATCCATCATAAAAGTGCATCTGTCCATCATAAAAGTGCATCTGTTCATCATAAAAGTGCATCTGTTCATCATAAAAGTGCATCTGTCCATCATAAAAATGCATCTGTCCATCATAAAAGTGCATCTGTCCATCATAAAAATGCATCTGTCCATCATAAAAAGTGCATCTATCCATCATAAAAGTGCATCTATCCATCATAAAAGTGCATCTGTCCATCATAAAAGTGCATCTGTCCATCATAAAAGTGCATCTGTCCATCATAAAAGTGCATCTGTCCATCATAAAAGTGCATCTGTCCATCATAAAAGTGCATCTATCCATCATAAAAGTGCATCTGTCAAAAAAAGTGCATCTGTCCATCATAAAAGTGCATCTGTCAAAAAAGTGCATCTGTCCATCATAAAAGTGCATCTGTCAAAAAAAGTGCATCTATCCATCATAAAAGTGCATCCGTCCATCATAAAAGTGCATCTATCCATCATAAAAGTGCATCTGTCCATCATAAAAGTGCATCTATCCATCATAAAAGTGCATCTGTCCATCATAAAAGTGCATCTGTCCATGATAAAAGTGCATCTGTCCATCATAAAAGTGCATCTGTCCATCATAAAAGTGCATCTATCCATCATAAAAGTGCATCTGTCCATCATAAAAGTGCATCTGTCCATCATAAAAGTGCATCTGTCCATCATAAAAGTGCATCTGTCCATCATAAAAGTGCATCTGTCCATCATAAAAGTGCATCTATCCATCATAAAAGTGCATCTATCCATCATAAAGTGCATCTATCCATCATAAAAGTGCATCTGTCCATCATAAAAGTGCATCTGTCCATCATAAAAGTGCATCTGTTCATCATAAAAATGCATCTGTCCATCATAAAAGTGCATCTGTCCATCATAAAAGTGCATCTGTCCATCATAAAAGTGCATCTATCCATCATAAAAGTGCATCTATCCATCATAAAAGTGCATCTGTCAAAAAAAGTGCATCTGTCCATCATAAAAGTGCATCTGTCAAAAAAAGTGCATCTATCCATCATAAAAGTGCATCCGTCCATCATAAAAGTGCATCTGTCCATCATAAAAGTGCATCTGTTCATCATAAAAGTGCATCTGTCCATCATAAAAGTGCATCTGTTCATCATAAAGTGCATCTGTTCATCATAAAAGTGCATCTGTCCATCATAAAAATGCATCTGTCCATCATAAAAGTGCATCTGTTCATCATAAAAGTGCATCTGTTCATCATAAAAGTGCATCTGTCCATCATAAAAATGCATCTGTCCATCATAAAAGTGCATCTGTCCATCATAAAAATGCATCTGTCCATCATAAAAGTGCATCTATCCATCATAAAAGTGCATCTGTCCATCATAAAAGTGCATCTGTTCATCATAAAAGTGCATCTGTTCATCATAAAAGTGCATCTGTCCATCATAAAAGTGCATCTATCCATCATAAAAGTGCATCTGTCCATCATAAAAGTGCATCTGTCCATCATAAAAGTGCATCTGTTCATCATAAAAGTGCATCTGTTCATCATAAAAGTGCATCTGTCCATCATAAAAATGCATCTGTCCATCATAAAAGTGCATCTATCCATCATAAAAGTGCATCTATCCATCATAAAAGTGCATCTATCCATCATAAAAGTGCATCTGTCCATCATAAAAGTGCATCTGTTCATCATAAAAATGCATCTGTCCATCATAAAAGTGCATCTGTCCATCATAAAAGTGCATCTGTTCATCATAAAAGTGCATCTGTCCATCATAAAAGTGCATCTATCCATCATAAAAGTGCATCTGTCCATCACAAAAGTGCATCTATCCATCATAAAAGTGCATCTATCCATCATAAAAGTGCATCTGTCATCATAAAAATGCATCTGTCCATCATAAAAGTGCATCTGTCCATCATAAAAGTGCATCTGTTCATCATAAAAGTGCATCTGTCCATCATAAAAGTGCATCTGTCCATCATAAAAGTGCATCTGTCCATCACAAAAGTGCATCTATCCATCATAAAAGTGCATCTGTCCATCATAAAAGTGCATCTGTCAAAAAAAAGTGCATCTATCCATCATAAAAGTGCATC